ATTAAAACTCATACAAGTCTCCTTTATCAAATCGTTCCTTGGAATCTAAATATTATGCGATCTTCGATGACACTGTAAGCGCATCGCGGATGAAACGCGGTCTGATTAACGCTATAGGTACCATATGGAAAGCAATAACCGGCAACCTCGATTCATCGGACGGTGAATACTATAACGATTGTATTAACAAAATTTCTAAAGATGAACATGAACTCGAAAACCTCATGAAGAACCAAAATGTCTGTTACCATGTCGGTTATCAAGAATTTTAATAACACTATTCAAAAACTTATGATTGATGAAAATACGTTTAATGAAGATATTAAGGTTATTGAAAACAAAATTTATGAAATTTCAGACGATCTTGCATTTTATGAAGCTAAATTCCAGTTTTTAGAAGTTTGCGAACAATTAATGGAAAGCTACATGTTTCTAGAAGAGACAATTAATGATATTCTAAATTCAATTACTTTTGCTCGTTTAAAAATAATACATCCTTCTATTATCACTCCTCAAGACTTAGTAAATTCTCTTCAAGAAATCTCTCACACTTTGTCGAGAAATAATTTACCCCTTTCGGTTAATTTGGCAACAGTGTCAGAGTACCTCAATCTTATGGAACTCGAAGCGTATCAAACTAAAACAAGAGTAGTATTCGTCCTACGCATCCCGTTATTAGAGCCCGAAATGTATACTTTATACAGAGTGATTCCTCTACCCATTCTCGATAAACGTACTGGTTTGTTTCATGTAGTTTCCACTATACAGAGATACATTGCTAAAGATAGCGATTCTCTTTTGTACGTTTCCTTTCAAAATTCAGGTAGTTGTAAAGTTCTTCAGTCTCAGGTGAAAATCTGTTTCAACCTCTTGCCGTATCCAATAGACAGTAATGCAGTCTGCGAAGCACAGTTGTTGCGAAATCCGGTCGATCTGCCGGCAGCCTGCCAAATAGCAATTGTGGCATTGCAAGATTACAAAATCCAAGAACTTGCAACCAATTTTTGGCTAATCATCATATCTAGCCCTCTGCCAATTACTATGAAGTGTGGACAACGAGAGACTACCACCAAAGTGATAAAAGTTAATTCACTTTTAAAAATGCAACCCGAATACAGTGGCTTTGTAGGCACCACGAGATTACATTCTAAATATTCTGTTAGCTTGTTTGTACAAGAATATCACATACAAAAGTCACCCTGTAGAAGTACCCTACAAATGCTGTGAACATCTCCCAGACACAAAATTTACCAAAAGTAAAACCGATCAAGCTAATTCAGCAAGATCGATACTGAAGAACTCGAAATTGCCAATCACAAATTAAACCAATATTCTGAACAACTGGACAAAATTATGAACGAGCCGTTTGTTTCGAGACATCTCTCATGGTTCACGTATTTCATCATCACCCTGTTAGTTATCATCGTAGCTTTGTACCTGTTCTGCAAGTGCAGAAAACGTAGACCACTCAGCATCTGCGCATCAAATGATCCAGCCGATGGCCCATCTCCAGGAGCACCAAAAGTCCGGTACATTCCCAGACTCTTTTCCTCGACGTAGACCAACCATCCAGCCACATGAAGAACACATCGAACTGCAGTGAGTGTTCCGTGAAGTGTTTTCACTGTTCAAAAAGTCATTTTCAATTTTCGATTGTATCTTATTATTTGTTAGTTCGAGCTTTGCTTTTTGATGTTATTTTGCATCGCCAATGCATTTATGCTAGCAATTTTATTTTTCAGAATCTGTATTTTCTGATTTTACTTTTGCAATTTTACTATTTTTATATTTTTACACCTTTTTATATTTTCACAATGTTTACAATTTTACACTTTACACTTTTACAATTTTTATAATTTTACAATTTTTACATTTTTCAATTTTTGTCAAAAGTTATCGCATAGCAACAACTTTTTGTAATAGGGGGGAGTTGTTATATGGCCATAGTAACTACGCAGTTATTATACAATGTTGCACCAGACGCTGTGTCAGCATATGATAACAACTTCTCGCTAATCCGTTGCTAGAATAGTGCCTTTGCTGTTTTCTACTAATTCTTAGTCAGCTTTCCGAATTTATAAATAGGCCTCGCGGCCATATCCTGTTGTTCAATACCCGGCTAGGCACCGTAACAGTCACTTATATAAACTTTGTTGTTCAATACCCGGTTAGACTCCGTAAATGTCACATTTGTAAACCTTTGTATTTTATATGGACTGAAGCTTCAGTCCTCAAATAAATTTTTTTTAAAAAGTTATTTCTAAATCTAATGATTTAAGATATATATATATATATATATATAGGTGAAAAATTAAAGCTTCCGCCTTTTGTTGGGTACTTCGACAAAATTTAAGCAAAGAGGACTCTTTATACTTTTTTTAATTCTCTCTAGCTTTCAATGGACTTTGCCATCATCATCAGGAGCTGCAATTACAATGATAACAGTAGCAACAAAAGTGTAAAATGAATTTAAATTGAATCAACTTACAGTAGTATGTGAGGATGTTGCTAATTGTTGTTTTCGTATAGGATGAGGGAAACGTCCAGTAACATGGTGAGAGCTGGATACATGGTACAATGGTTAAAATTATATAAGATATGACAAGACAACTTAATGACAGATTAAAAATTATTTAGAAAACATTAGAGCATTACGTCGTGAAGCAACTTGATGATTGCACAAAATGGTGGTCATGGAATAATGAGTGAGATGAACCTTTGACAGAAGGCCGAAGGTTGTCAATGTCTGTGTTGAAAGATGGAACGAATTGTGGGCGTGTGCCAAAACGTTGCCAAATCATTTCAGATGACGTGATTTTCAGAATGTTATGTAAGAAATTGTTAAACCGACCAGAGGCAGTTGAATAAACTATATTTTAATTAATGGGAATTTTAAATTAACAATTATTAATAAATCGTGAGAAGAGAATTATTAGATTTTGAGTGGAAAGAAATTTGTTGGTGGAATCGGCCAAAACACAGATTATATTTATGGTTGTGAAAAGTCGAAATTTGGTGAGATATGTAAGTTCTCTAATTTTTCGCAGTTTAGCAAATATGAGTAAATGACATTCAGTTGTTTAATATCTGTCTTTTTGTTGATACAGTTGTTATTCATGAAAATGTGGGACATTTCCTAGGACCTATGATTCATAGGTCAGACCTCCAGATCTCTTAAAGGAAGGATTACATCACACAAAAGTGATGCTAGGCTTCATCCTGAAAGATGCGCTCTAGCATCTCATGTTAACACAACAGGGCATACTATGAATTACACAAGTATCAAAGTTCTTGATAAAGAAAAACACCTTTCCAAACGTTTATTCCTGGAAATGTCCCACATTTTCATGAATAACAACTGTATCAACAAAAAGACAGATATTAAACAACTGAGTGTCATTTACTCATATTTGCTAAACTGCGAAAAATTAGAGAACTTACATATCTCCCCAAATTTCGATTTTTCACAACCATAAATATAATCTGTGTTTTGGCCGAACCCACCAACAAATTTCTTTCCACTCAAAATCTAATAATTCTCTTCTCACGATTTATTAATAATTGTTAATTTAAAATTCCCATTAATTAAAATATAGTTTATTCAACTGCCTCTGGTCGGTTTAACAATTTCTTACATAACATTCTGAAAATCACATCATCTGAAATGATTTGGCAACGTTTTGGCACACGCCCACAATTCGTTCCATCTTTCAACACAGACATTGACAACCTTCGGCCTTCTGTCAAAGGTTCATCTCACTCATTATTCCATGACCACCATTTTGTGCAATCATCAAGTTGTTTCACGACGTAATGCTCTAATGTTTTCTAAATAATTTTTAATCTGTCATTAACTTGTCTTGTCATATCTTATATAATTTTAACCATTGTACCATGTATCCAGCTCTCACCATGTTACTGGACGTTTCGATCATCCTATACGAAAACAACAATTAGCAACATCCTCACATACTACTGTAAGTTGATTCAATTTAAATTCATTTTACACTTTTGTTGCTACTGTTATCATTGTAATTGCAGCTCCTGATGATGATGGCAAAGTCCATTGAAAGCTAGAGAGAATTAAAAAAGTATAAAGAGTCCTCTTTGCTTAAATTTTGTCGAAGTACCCAACAAAAGGCGGAAGCTTTAATTTTTCACCTAACTGGTTTAGACGACAATGACCACGTCTCAAGTTATATATATATATAGTAAACTAAAGTTTGAGGATCACTATGAATACATTATTTAAAAAATTGCCAAATAACGAATTACTTTTATAGAGCTTCTCATAGTCTTGATATGTATTCCAAAAAATAGTTTATAATACAATTATTCCACCGCATTTACTATATTGTTCAACTATCTTGTTTACTGTCAATGAAGCTGCATTCTCAAAATTACAAGTCCTGTAAAATAAAGCTATGAGAATAATATTGAATAAAATTAAGTACACTAAAATAAAATCTGTGATACAAGAATTGCAGTGGTTGAATATAAAAAATTTAATATCATATTTGATTCTTATTTTTATATTTAAAATAAAAAATTATCTTTTGCCACAACATTTAAAACACTACATAGAATTGAATAATCATTACCACAATTATTATACAAGAGGAAATATAAATTTTTATTTACAAAATTGCAGTAGTTACGTAATTAGCAAATCAATATTTCAGAAAGGATTACTTGAATTTAATAAACTAAATAATGATATAAAGTCTACTTGTAATTTAAAATGTTTAAATTAAAATCAAAGGAATATTTCATGGACAGTGAAAACTCTTAGAGATGCAAATTTTGTTTTTTCTAAATGTCTGTATGTTATGCAATTGTTTAGAGAATGTAATTGTAGCAATCACGCTAAGTAAATCTTAAACAAACAAAAGTACACCGATCATTTTTGAAGAAGATCTCTTTAGGGGTAAACAATTGGGGGGTTGTAGAGGGGTGGGGGAGACTGTATCGCAATTTTTCGATGTTAGTATGTTAAAGTACTTCCAACCCCGGTAATTCTACGCGCCTATTAGACAGATTTCACACATCATAGATTTTCCTATACATTTGCCCTTAAAATTTAGAAAAGTTTTCTCCTCGTAAGACGAAAAGTGAACGTCTTACGCAATATATCAAAGTTGAGGATAATGTGAACTTTTTTGTTTGACAATTTTTGCTGCAGGATAGGAGAAATCTTGGAAATCAAGGAGGCCATAAAGTCGTTCTACAATAATGGTAGAAACAACGATACGGCCCTAAGAGCAGAGATATTCGGAGTAATGGAATTCCATAATGAATATATTCAGCGGAGTGGTCAGACATCCTGACCATTACATCAAGAAGGTTAAACGAAACTATACTGTTAGTACTACTTATCATGTAAAAACATCTTCCTAGAATAATGTTTATTATACACCAAATTACAACCCTTGTGTGTGAATTTCATAGTACATAAAACGTATCTAATGGCTCTCTCCCTTTTTCCCCGCAACTCTTTTAAAGTCTCCCATGTTGGTAGTAGATATGGGAGAACCTATAAATGCCAAATGATCGATTTGAGTCACTTCAGCCCCGCCCATATTGTCCTTGACAAACAGCTGGATGTTTTGTACATTTTGAAATTTCACGTATCGTAAATTCACTGGATTTCCTTCCAAGTCTTCTGGTTTCAATCTAAAAAAAGGAATTTATTGACATCTAATATACGTGCTTATGGAATGGGTTAGAAACTATAATTTTCAGACAAATTTTTTACAACTCAATGATGATCAAATCATTACAATGCTCAATAGAAAAAAATGCGGTTGAACTCCCTGGTATTTTAGTTTGAAATCGTCTATACAGTGGTGCTAGCCCTAAGTGAGAAAAGTGATTTTTTTTAAAAAAAGTAGTGAGACAATAGTGAGTTTATACATAAAAAAGTCAGTTAATTTTCTGAGAAACTGAAATCATAATGCCCAATTTAAACGCACAATATAATAATTAGAAGGGGGTTAAAAAATTAGAATAACATTTATAAGGTATTTGTCACTGTTGCGTTGACGTAAGCAAAAATGATTATTCTTCTAAATACGGGAGTCGTCCTTATTATCTATTAAGTTGCTAAATTTATTGAAGTTTGATATAGTTATTATAGATGAGTATTCTCACAATTTCTAGAATTTTATTATAAACTCAAATAGCTTCACAACGATTGAAGATAGGTATAAACTTTATTATGCAAAAGTTACTAAACACTTGAAACATCTAAGAATCAAAAAAGAGGGATTCCATTAAGAAATCTAAAGTGTAACGCAATATCTTATTTTTAGATCGCCCTGTATTTGTACGGCTATAGATGAAAAGACCTCCCCCTAGAAATCAAAATTGACGCGGCCGGGCGTTTTTTTCCAAATCACAAATAGGGGCGCGATCGTTTGGTTGGTCTACCCTGTATGTATACGTGTCGTTAAAATATTTCCCGCATGTATGAAAAATTGATGGTGGCAACGTGGAAGTGATTTGATAAGTACATGGTGTATTTTCTGGCCGCAATAAACCAAATTACAGTAGTTGCAACGGAAAATATTTCAACACGTTCCAGTAGAAGGTGTTTTAGGGTAGTGAACTTAAATACTACATGACGGGAAAGTTGGAAACGGACACGGACAATATTGAAGTTATATACCCCTATTTTTGTTCATACAATTATTGGTCATGAAAATGTGGGACATCTCTAGGAATAAACGTTTGGATAGTTGTTCTCCCCTATCAAGAACCTTGATGCTTGTATAAGTCATTGAATGTCTTGTTAGGTTGACATGAGATGCTAAAGCACACCTGTAACGATGCAATCTGGAATCACTTTTGTGTGCTCGCCTCTTGTTTTTCGGCACGGTATTATGTAAAAAACCTCTAAATGTCAAAAAACCTATAAAATGTCATCTTGCAGACTATACCCTATTTCAAGAGTATCCATCTCAGTAGAATCACAGCTGGTTATCTAGTAATATTTCAAAATTCCCCATATCGGCAAAGGACACAATTCTGACGGATCCGTCAATCCCAGGTAGACAGCCAAATATTGTTTTGGTTTATTGTACGCTACAGATTCATTTTGTACTTGCTAACAGCTATTTTATTTAGAAAAGTTCATTTGCTTACAAAAAACAAAACGCTACAAACAAATTTTACTAGATTTACACCCTATTTATTATTGCCAACGTCGCAGACTAATACAAAAATGTCATGTGCTAATCAGCTGTTCACCTTAGTAGACGAGAAAGCGTGATGTATACCCGTGACATCGGGTATATTTATAGAGTGCAGTGAATAAGTGAGGTTAGGCGGAGGTAAACATACGAGGAATTACCCAAAAATAACCGGATTGCAGTGGGCGGAGCTTGTGTAGTACACATTTCTGCCCCTAGAGGCGTACAGCACAACTCATTACCAGTTCAGTGCCACCTGAGTTGTCGATCTGGCTTGTTTCGTTCTTCTATAGTCATTATTTTTGCTACAGCTGTTTCGTGCTTGTTTCGTTTTTTACGATGGCAAGCTTCAGTGAGCAACGTGCAGCTGTAAAATTTTGCTTTCTAATTGGTAAAAATGCTGCTGAAACTGTTTTAATGTTGAAATAGCTTACAAAGATGATGCTATGGGAAAAACCCAGGTGTACGAGTGGTTTGCTCGATTTAAAAATGGTGACATGTCGATCGATGACAAACCTCGCTCTGGCCGTCCATCAATTGCCCTAATCGACGAAAATGTTGAAAAAATTTGAGAGCTTGTGCTATTTGGAGGTTTTAAGACGATTGCGAAACAGTGTTCGGCAAAAAAGACCCGATTTGTGGCAGTCAGGATACTGGTCCTTCCACCACGATAATGCACCTGAGCACACAGCCATCTCTGTTCGACAGTTTCTGGCTAAAAATGGCATGGTTCGGCTGCCTCTCGCACCTTATTCGCCTGACCTGGCTGCGTGCGATTTTTTCTTATTTCCACGGATGAAAAGGGGCATGAAAGGACGCCGCTTTGACGTTGAAGAGGTCAAGAAAAACGAGGGAGGAGCTGTCAGGCATTTCTAAGGAAGTCTTCAAAAAATGCTTCGAGCAGTGGAAGCACCGGTCAGACAAGTGTATTAGTTGTAGTGGACAGTATTTTGAAGGAGATGAGGTTACTTTGTGAAAAAGAAAATAAATAGCTTTTAAAAAATAATTCTTGTTTTTTTTTGGGCACCCCCTCGCACACCCTATTTCACGAGTATCCATCACGCTTTGATGTCTACTGCGGTGAACAGCTGACCAGCTAGTGACATTTTAGCCTGCAATGTTGGCTATGATGAATCGGGTGTAAATCTAGCAAAAAATTGTTTGTAGCGTTTTGTTTTTTGTATGCAAATGAACTTTTATAAATAAAAGAGCTTTTAGCAAGTACAAAGTGAATCTGTAGCGTACAAAAAAAACAAAATACGGTAAGAATCTACTTTAGCGCATATCGCAAATATTACATATTTTAAAATGAAAGACTAGGATTTTTTCTTCAATGATCTCTCTGCTTGCTATTTTATAGAACTTCAAAATTGCATTTTTGGTGGTAATACTCCAGAATAGAATAATGTTTTATACGCTGTTTTTTGCTTTTTGCACAAAAGGATGATCTAAATTATAAGAATATATCGTTGAAAAATCACGGCTGGTTTTTAACCTAAGAAAAAGGTTAAAAACCAGCCGTGTAATAAGCTGAAATAACAGTGCAAAATACATATCGTAAATGATGATATTTACTTGGTAAACTGTGTATAGGTGTTGAGTTGAGATTTTTTAATGTCTTCTTGAAATTCCTTAACCATTTTGTTTTACGTATTTTCAATGAGATCAAAGTTTTTGCGTTTATAAGAAATATTTGAAAGTAGAAATAATTCTGAATGGCCATTTTATAACGTTTATGTCTTGACAGATAAGATAAATGATGTCCATTGTTGCCAAGTTGTACCTTTTTTGGAGAAATACGTAATAAAAAATGAGGTTATTTGCAAATCTTAATTTAGTGAAAATGGCTTGTTTTAGTTATCCCAACATTTACTGAAAATCAGATGAAATTTTGAACAGTACGTGACTAAACAGTGGAAAATGTACCAGCGGCTCACGTGACATAAAAAAACAAAAGGCACCAGCGGTCATTGCATATAAAAATTATATTAAAATTGTGATTCTTCAATTAGACGTACCAACCTAGGTCGCCTAGGTCGCAGAACTCGCAATGCTGTAAGTTAAAGATTTAAACGAAGAAGTCAAACTGACGAGCAACGAGAAGCGAGAAATAAAGTTGAACGGATCGAAGGACTTAAATTCAACAATGAAGCTCCTGGATTATGTTGCGTCAGTGGAAAGAGTAAATTGACTCCATTGGTACCACCACCGGAGCCACTACATTCATTGGGTTCCAGAAATGGGTCAGACTCATATCCAGCAATACAACAATTGCTTTCAAATGACGTCATTTGGCGCAACAAAATTCATTAAACATAATTTTATGCCTACTTTCTAGGTAAGTTGATGGGGGAATGACAGTACTGCCAACGTATTTTGCTAGCCACATGGCCACACTTTGCTATACAATTACCTATATTCCATATATTTACCCTTCTATTATTCATCCCAGTTCATAGCTAAGACAGGAAAACGTCTTTCGGGTCAGCCAGTAGGAAATAAAAAATTAACGATAAATGGAGAGGAGTGGAAATGGAACGTCAGCATAGACAAATTGGAAAAAAGAGTGAAAAAACTAATAAGCGAATACGACAGAGGGGAGGTCATGATGAACCAAGCGATGAATAAGGATACAGGTATTAAAAATATACAAATCAGCAAAGTGCTAGTGGGGACATGGAACGTAAGAGGTAAATTCGAAGCAGGAAATTGAATCAATTGATTAGAGAAATAAAAAAGTTCCAATTCGCTACAAGAAACAAAACAACTGGTGCTAGGAAGTGTTTGAAATCGATTATTTCTTATTTTTCAATAGTGGAGGCAAAAATGGATGCTAGGCACAGGATTCGGGGCCAGTAAAGGTATTAATACAGCAATTGTGGAGTTTAAACCGATATCAGACCGACTGTGTCTTCTTAGATTGAGGGGGGAAAATATCAGAAGATTACATTGATCAATATTCACGCACCCTCGGAAGACAAAGGCATAGAAATGAAAGAAGACTTTTATAATAACCTAAACATGGTTTACGAAAATTTAGATACGACCTTTAGATGCGAATGCTAACACAGGGAAAGTATGATGTTTTTAGACCGACAATAGGGATATTTAGTAAACATGAAGAAACTAATGAAAATGGGCAGCTCCTGATCGAATTTGCTAAAGAAAAAAATATGATTATAGTGAGTACATAGTTTGAAATAAATGGCTACCTGGCGGTCCCCGGATGGAAAAACTGCAAATCAAATAGATCATGTTCTGAAAGAAAATGACGACAGAAAATGTATTAAAAATAAACAATCATACAGAGGACCGGATGTAGACTCTGAACATTAGGGATAAAACTGACACAACTTGTTCCAGTAATGAAAAATAAGAATAAAAGGTGTATGGATATAAAGAAACCGATAAGATTAGCGACATGTGAGGAACAAGAAAAATACAATAAATATACTAGTAGTGAACTAAATAATGTGCAACTAC